AAAAAAAAGATGAGACTAGGGCTACGTGTCTTGTGGAGGAAGACCACAGAAGTAAGACCACACATCAAGGGTTGATGTTGACCTTGACCACCTGGCTGAAGGAGGCGTTTGTCAGGGTTCTCCACTGTAAATTTTCTTCTTCTCTCTTTTCATACTGTCCTCTTTGACAGAAAGTCACTAGGTGTTGCCCATGCTGAGGAATGAGGAGTCCTGTTCTACCCTCTCTAAGGGCAGAATGTCTGTATAGATTATTGGGGATTCTCCCTCATTTCTTACTCAGTCCTACATTTATATCAGTGTGGGCTCGTGGGTATTTGTTTTATGTGTCGGGTCATAACCCAACGCTACTTTATTGTGTTGTCCAACAGTGCCTTGTCCTGTAGCTTTGCTGTGCTACCTTTCAGACCAGAGTTGGACAAGGGGCATGTGTACAAGGTGTGATTATACCAAGTTGCCAACCTTGTTTTCCTCTCTGGAATGAAGGGAAGAAAGGAATTGTCCCCCAGCTCATGGTTGAGGGGGTGTGGGTTAAAGACCCTAGTCTGACTGCCAGCCTCCCCTGCGTCGGCCTCAGCCTCAGCCTTCCCTAAGCTGCTGTGCGTCTGAGGCCTCCAGTGGGTCTGGTGCCGCTCTGGGGGAAGGCGCTGATCTCTTTCTTCCCGAAGAAAGGCTGATCCCCTGGATCCCTGTCTCAAGGCTGAAGTGAGCGAGTGCTTTAAGAACGCCATGTTCAGGGGCGCCTGGGTGGCGCAGTCGGTTAAGCGTCCGACTTCAGCCAGGTCACGATCTCGCGGTCCGTGGGTTCGAGCCCCGCGTCAGGCTCTGGGCTGATGGCTCAGAGCCTGGAGCCTGTTTCCGATTCTGTGTCTCCCTCTCTCTCTGCCCCTCCCCCGTTCATGCTCTGTCTCTCTCTGTCCCAAAAATAAATAAACGTTGAAAAAAAAATTAAAAAAAAAAAAAAAAAAAAAGAACGCCATGTTCAGCTGGCTTCTGGTTGCTGTGGGGCCCTGTTCTAAAAGGCTTTTGTGTTCCAAGCCCAGGAGCAAGAAGGGGCTAATTTGCTAGCAACCTTCCTACCTGAACAGATCCTGCACTTCTCCCTCTTCTAGCCACTGCGAATTCCCCAGCCCTGCTGACGCAGCTCAGATCTGGGACACAGCCCACCTGTGCTGGGGGGTCGTCCGGTACCTAAACCACTCCGTGCCCCTTGGCCTGCAATACCACTCCCCACTCAGTCCCCTTGAGCCCCGCTCTCTACCGCTCACAGTCCTGACCGGCATCCTGGAATCTTGTGTCCTTCCTTACCCTACAGGCTCAGCTCCCAGAGGGCAGGGTGGGCATCCAGTCACCTGGCACTGTTCCCGCCACTAGAACTGGGCTCCCTGGGGGTTTGTGTGGGGGTTGGAGTAAAAGCCTCCATTTTCTGCCCTCAGGAAGCTAAGGCTAAAGACAGGAGACAGCACACGGTATCTCTGAGGACTGGGTTGTAGTCAGAGCACCTTCAGGCCTGCGTGACAGACAAGAAGGCTGCAGAGGGGCTGAGGAGGTCAACACAGCCCTTCACCCTACACGTCATGACCACTGTGTGCCTCAGAAGGACGGGGACACCCACCTCACCTTTGCCCCTCTTGGCCCCACCCGGCCCATCGGCTCCCAACCCTGGGAACCCAGCTGTGGGTGCTGAGCTAGGCCGTTGGCGGGGCAATTAAAACACCAAATGGGTTCCAACAGGGTTAATCACAGCCTCATTTATAGAGGCGCCTTTCTCTGAGGATCTCCAAAGACCTCGCTGCGCATGATGTCATTCCTCCTCTGGGATCCCCCACCCTGGAATACCACCAAGAAGCTGGGGCCAGAGTGGGTGAACAGCAGGGTAAGGGCAGTGCCGGAAACAGCCCAGGCTGCTGCCACCCACTTGGGCAGGCAGATGAGTGTTCGGGCTGGCAGAGAACAAGGGCCCTCAGTCAATGCACTACACATAAGGGGCCAGCCTGCTGCCAGCCAAGCGCTTCTAAACACCACATCCAGACCTATTGTGTGCCAGGCCCTTGCTGGGCCGCAGAGACCCAGCTGAGTAAATCCTGGCCCTGCCCTGGCCCAGCATGGCCGACTTCTGTCCACGGGACACTGGGCTAGGTCCTTCGCAAAGTCCGTGTGAAGTCCTCCTGGAGCGCGGGGCAGGGGAGTGGCAGGGAAGGGTGAGGAGCCTCAATGAGGATGCTTTGGGCCCGAGGAACCGGGCTTCACTTTGGAGAGGGCAGCTGTTGGAAGCCAGCAGACACCGTCAAGCTAGGAAATGAACCATTTTAGATCCCTCCACTTGGGTGGCAGAGCAGAGGGATTGTGGCCAGAGAAAGGAACAGCAGGAGGCTGGGCCCGTCTGAGTTAAGGGCACTGAGATGGTGACTGACAGTGTGAGAAGCAGCGCTGGGACTTTGTGTGAGGGATCAGGGGGAGGAAGTAGTCGGAGGTAAGGGAGCAGGGGCTGCTGCGGTGCCTGGGAGGGGAGGAGGCGCTGCGGGCCGAGGGGCCAGGAGAGCCCGCAGTGCTGGGGCAGATGGACCGGGGCGCCGTGGGGCTCAGCTGGCCCTGAGGGGCCGAGGGGCCTCCTGCCAGCACACTGGGAGAGGTGGGGGATTGGGA